TCCCCTTCTGACACACAAGTGTAATATCATTCACTATATATTTCAAAGTTGTGCATATTATCTATATGGTATGATACACCCCATTGAGAGCATTGTTTAATATCCTGTTCCCAGTTCTGCAGCAATGCTGCTCTGAAACTGGCAACATAGTTTGATTCATGATCCAATTTGAATTCCCTCAGAGAAATTGCCATCAGAGCCATGGTAGGCACTGTGTGAATAAACCTGTCCCTCACATGTCAATATGTAACATCACTTTGCAAGTGGTAGTCTGCTGTATCTTTTAGGTTCTAGGAGTCTTGTTCATGGAAACATTAATCTACCATCTTGTAAAACAGAGAGTGGATAATTTAAATGTAATCTTACTAAAATATGTAATCTTCCAGATAAGAAATGAATATGCATATTACCTCAATAGTGCCACAATCACATTCCTCTCCACGCTCAAGGAACTGGTTCCCGCATGTTGGATTTCCATAAAGTTCGTCTGCTCTGGGACTGTTCAAAAGACAGTCTGTCATCCCCGATGCCAAGAACTGCTTCAACTCCTGATGGCTACAACTGCTGAAGCTTTCAGGAAACACATACCTGAAAATAATTAAAGATGAGAACAGCCAAATGAGATTGAGGTTAGGTTCACATTACATGCAAAATTGTAAAATGGAATTAGATGAAAAAAAAAACTTGAATTGTCACAAAATTGGAGCATTCAGATTGGGAATGTGAAAACAGTTGAGATTTTTGCTTCCAAATGATATAATTACAAGAAGGCAGTTCAGAGAAGGTTCCCATGACTCATTCATGGGGATGAAGGGCTTAGTTTAGGAAGAAAGTGAGCTTTACCCATTTCAATTTAGAAGGAGAGATGGTTTTATTGAAAAGATGGAAGATCATGAGGCAACTTAACAGGGTGGATTTGGAGATGGTGTCGTCTCTCCTTGTTGAAGAGATCAGAATGAGGGTACAGTTCAAGAATAAGAGGTTTTGCTTTGAAGACTGAAATGGGGAGGAATGTTTTCTACCAGAAGGTTTCTAGCCTGTCGAATTACCTTCCCCAGAACACAGTAGAAGATAGGCCATTGAATTTATTTACGGCTGAGTTGGGTAGATTTTTGATAGACAAGGAGGTCAAGGCCTATAGAAGATGGAGGGGTTAGGCTGCAGATGGGAAAATTAAGTGGAGATCATGGCCAGGTCAACCAAAATATCACTGGATTGCAGAGTAGGCTCAAAAGGACAAACGGCCCATTCCTACCCTTCAAAATTCTGTCTTATGTCTTTAAAACACTGGTGACCACAAATGGAAAAGTCTCCTGTAATGTTATGCTAACAGCCTACAACACACAGCCTTACACAAAGAATACTGTTGCTTTTAACTAATGTGCTATAATACCAAAATAATTGGGGCTCTCTCTTATTTAAGTTAGAAGACAAAATCCATTTAAATTTAGCCAATAAAAATTGTTCATGTAGAAATTGAAAATATGTCAAATATCATCATTCTTTACAACAGAACATGCTCATGGTTCACTATATTGATAGAAATAATTACTTACATTTACTACAGCTCTTTGAGGTGGTAATACAGGATAGATAAAGGCAAACCAGCAGATGTAATATATTTGGATTTCCAAAAGGCACTTGAAAAGGCATGCCACATAAGGCTTTTTAATAAGAGTAGATGGTATTGAAGGTATTAATATTGGCAAGGATAGGCATTGAATAATGGAGCAGAACTGATGAGCCGAATGACCAACTTCGGATCCTACAGCTTATGGGCTTAAAGAATATGCTATTGAAGGGCTCAAAACTTTCCAAACATTTTCACTATATAGAAAAATTAAAAATCAAACTTTGTTTTTTCTAAATATTTAGTCACATAACATTATGGTAGGAGCAGACTTCCTTGTTTGGGCCTGTTGCAGATAGTTATGTTCATACCCTGTTTTCTCTGCCATGATACAGCCACGATTGCTTTTACTTGATCCAGAGCAGCTACAATATGTTTTGTGGTCTTCATCGTGAGACATGCCCAAATTGTGACCCATCTCATGTGCAATTGTGGACGCCAATCCTAATGGGTTTGAATTGTGGTCCTGCATATAATGGATAGAATTATTACAATTCTTACCTTCACAACTACAAGTCCAAGTCATGATATTTGATTAAGCTTAGAAGTATTATAGTACTGAATAAATTGTGTTACAAAAATACACGAGCACAAAACAATGATTGAAAATTAAGCCATAATTGAAACTGTTTAACTCCAAAAGAAATAACAGGACAGAAACAGGCTATTTGGCCCAAAAGGTCTATTTGTATTTGTACTGCTCCTTGCTCCTATCATTACCAGCAGAGGTTTCTATTCTTCTCTCCCTAATGTACTAACCAAGTTTCCTCTGAAATGTTTCTTTGCTAATTACTGCGACCATTCTATGTAGTAGCAAGTTCTACATTCTAACCACTCGCTGGATAAAGGAACTCTTCTGGAATTTCTTCAAATTTATTTATGACTATCATATATTTATAACCTCCACAAAACTGATATACAGATCATCCCATCAGCTAACTTGTGACCTTTCATCACTGCAATCATAAAAGGTTTATTAAAAAGTTGTCATAGTTCCACAGGTCCACAGGGCTACTTTCTCATTAGAGAGAGACAGCTAGTGATGGTTTGATCTAAGGATCACCACATACCTCAGGCTAGGGGAGAGGTTGAGAAGGACAGTCCTTGGACCCATACTCTTAGCGTTACTCGATGTCCACAAACCAACAGTCCAGACAACTGAGCTAACTGATCCCTAATCATAAATTCTGTTGCTCAGGCAGTCATGTGAATCCACTTAAGTGACTTTCATTCCTTTGGTTCGGTTATTAGATGGAGAATAATGAAGCTGAAGAGATTCACAGATTGGAAGTGAAAAACTAGCATCTCCGAATTTAACAGATTTGAATGTTTCTCCTATTGGTTGCCAGCACCAATAATAATGCTACTACATGCATACCTGTTGAAAGCTGTAGGCATTTTATTAAATTCAAATGTTTTGTAATTCTATAAATTATGCAGTTAATTTACAATTTTTGAAAATGTGGGTGCTTTTTTTTTGTAATTGTACAAAGTGCCATGAAGATAACTCACCTCATTCACACCACCAGACTGATAGGAGCACATGGCAGATTTTGTTGCCAATCCGACAGTTGTTCCTTCAAAACCTATTCCACTGAAAAGATAGTTATTTAATAGTCAACTTGAAACTTCTCTTGTAAACATTAATGGCATTATGATAATGACAGTTATTTTTGATCATACAGAAGAAACTTCTGACACATTCCTTGAAACATGGGAAAAGGTTTAGAGGGATATGGGCTAAAAGCAGGCAAATGGGGCTATTTCAGCTTAGGAAATCTGGCCAGCATAGTCGAGTTGGGCCGAATGGCCTCTTTCTGTGCTGTATGACTAACTGCTAGCTCAGCACTGGCGTAACTAAAGCCACAGAACACTTCACCACATACACACAATCAGAAACCAGTGGTTGTTTATGCTAAATCAATGTTAGGCCATAACTATTTTATAATCTGTGTTTGGGGGTGGGCAAAACTGCACTCATTACCCATCCCTTGTCGTCCTTGCTCCTGTTGCAGTGCTTGTGGTAATGCTGCTCCTACAATGATACTAGCAAGGGAATTCTAGAATATTAGCTGGCAATGAAAAAGGGTTGGAGACGGGTGTCCAAATCAGGGTAGTGTGTGTCTTGGGCAGGAAATGGGAGTGATAATGTTCCCATGACATTGATGTTTTTTCATTCTCAAGTGAAGGAAAGTGTTGTTGAAATTAATTTGAGTTATTGCTTCGCAACCCATAGAACAAACATAATGGAAGGAGTGTATAATGAACCTGATGACAGGGGTGCCAGTGAAATGAACAGCCTTATCTTGGAATGCATCAAGATTCTTGAAGGTCAAGAAGATGCATCTATCCAAATTACAGCTTCCTATTCCATCAACTTCAGCCCTCTAGATTGCAATGGACTTTGAAGAGTCATGATGTACACCATTTTATTTGAAATTTTCATCAATGAACAGGCTCCTGGTATCATGACGGGGGCATGAGGAGGGCTGCATTCATTGATGAAGCAATCAACAAAAGTTGGACAGAAGACACTTCCTCAGTCCCTTAGAATATTATTCAGGTATGACATGAAAAAGCATCTATTGCTTAAAAAGAGTTATAACTTGCAGTCTAATCAAATCACATGGAAATAGTCAAAAATGCAATAAGTTTCTTAAAGGATCTTAGTACAATCCCTTCTGTAAAAATCAATCTAACTTTTAGACCAGATCAGCTAGGAACATTGTTCTTATGCACAATTAACTGTTCATACACTAATAACCATCGCTTGTGGATTTTGGTGTTTATTTTTAAAGCTACATACGTGACAAACTGTGCGTTATCATGCCTCTTCTTGAACAGGAGCTCCTTTTGACGCCATTTAAGAAAGTTATCCAGAGTGATATCAGGATTGGAGCTGACAGCAATTTTGTCTGAATACATCCACACTTCCAATCCGACCAGTGCTACACGGATATTCAATGATCTGTACAACTAACAGAAAGCGTGAAAAACAAAGTCAGAACCACAAACTGCAACAGAAAGAATTAAGTACTTTTTAAAAGTATTCTAAATAAAATACTTGGGAGTGGCAATCATTTCACAGAGTTCAAACATTATATCTAATTCACATTAACCATTGCAGCCAAAAGAATTTCATTGATCGTTTCATATCCTTGTCAGAACAAATGTCCAACGTTACCTTTGACTAGTCTTTTTGCCATTTATCTATTTATAAGAATTGCTTGTCTTTGTGCCACTTGTTAGCATATTCTGATATTAACCTATGTTCTCGTCACCTTTAAAATGGTTTTGCAAGTTCCAGTGATGAGTGCCACTTTATGATTTTTTTGTTTATTTAGAGGCAGTCAGAGCAAGTGCATATTTTATCTTGCCACCAATGTTCCCTTGAAGCTGTGCAGCCAGAGTCTGTGTTTGCCAATCAGCACGTGGATGTATTGACCTCTGGTTCCAGAGGCTTATGTACCACAAGGACCTCAGAGATCTGTGCAACAGCAAGAAAAACGCGAGGAAAAGTAGCTTGCCACACCCTGGAAAGTTATTACCTTGTCTACATGATTCACTACTTCCATCATACGCTGTCGTATTGTTAGGAGGTGTCCAAATTTTTTATACTGAAATAGAAAAAAAAAAAGTGACCTCGATTGACTGTAAACCAGAAAGTTACCTAAAAGAGAAGTAAAAACACCATGTTCCCTTGATACAAAAAATCACTACATTAATCTATCACTGTTCAGTCTCAACTTGATTCTCTTTTCTTCTCACTATTTAATTTAAACATTTACTGACATGACTGATGTGTCCGTGGCTTCAAACTTGGATGGTGCCTGCCACCACTTATAGCAAGACAAGCTTCACACTGAGCAGGAACAGGACAAATTGAGCCCATCTTAAAGGAACAGATTTAATTTATCACAATTATACTCTTCAACAAAACAGTAGAGCTCCTGTGATGCAGTGGTAATGCCCTTTACTCTGAGGCAGGAGGCCTGGATTCAAGTCTTACCTGCTCCAGAGATGTGTAACAACATCCCTGAATAGATTAGAAAATCTCAACATTTTAGTGACAAGGAGTTTTCATATAAATACAGGACAGTAGGAAACCAACCAACCCTATGACTCTAATGATGTGCTTCAGAATTTTGTGAAAATCACATTATTAATAGTTTTCAAAATAGCTTGAAAAATTTATAACTAGTTGCTCAACTACACAAAGTTTCAAGCTCCTGAATGATATTGATGAACGTGAGTCAATGTATCCTGTAGAAATACAATACAATGTTAAAGCTGTTCAAAAACAGTGTCTGAATGATCATTTGGAAATGTATCTGTTCTTTGAAATCAGATGCTGAAAGATTTTGCAAGTTAGTAAATATATAGAATCCCACAGCATAAAACTCAAGGCAATTTGTAAAAAGTATCTTATTTAAGACTTACCTCCGCGTTGTCAACAACTAAGTAAAGTTCCACATATCGAGTGCTTTGTGAAGCCTTTGCAGGTCTCTAAAGAAAAAGAAGAGAATCAGGGAATCTGAATGCAGGTAATAATGTGAAATGCTAACTTTTTTTTTTACATTTATCTGAATGTTTTGCTCATCAACCTAAAAGTATTACAAACATGCATATAGTTAACAGGAATGATATACCCTGCCAAGAGGTTGGTAAAGTGCTGCCATTTTAGGTCCATGGTCATAAAGTGTCAAGTTGCGTGTGCTGCATGATCCCCGTTTCACTCTTAGATGCTCCTGTCTGTACAAAGCATGTTGCCCAGTTTGAGTTCTTTCCAACGGTTCAATGAGGTAGATGTTACTCCCAGCCATAAGCGCACCCCTAGAAAGCAACGTTAATAAGAATACTGATCCCAACTCCATGAATGCTTACTCCAGTTTATAAAGAATGTTCAAATGTCACAAAAGTTAGAGAGGAGGGAAAGTCCAGGAGGAACACATTTTATTCAAAACACTCCCCTTCATGTAATTACAATTTATTTGTTTTTTTTGGGGGAATTGAGATACTTTGTCTTGCTGACCTAAAAGGCACTTGGGAATGTCAGCTCTGAAACAGCACCCTGCCAGGAGCACAGAACAATGTCAAATTGCTCCAATAGATTGTTCTAACTCTGTTTGACCATGGGAAACTGATCTACAACTGCCGTGAAAATTTATCAGCATGACTGCATAGTTCACCTGGGTCTGTAGTTGCTAACCAGAGGATTCAAGGTAACTGGCAAAAGAATCAACAGGGAGACCAGGAGAATTATTTTTAATGCAACTACTTATAATCTGTAATGATGGGCTGAATGTCCTCCTTTAACATGATTCTATGAAATTATCATTTTCTTATGTAATAGAGACACAGTAAATGCTTCTTCACTAAGACTTTTGTTGCTGTTTGAGCTTGAAACGTTAGAATTTGCATTAGTTTTGACAGCAGTTTTCTGATGAAAATTATATTTGGTATAGTATATTTCAAATTGAAAACAACATTTTACACAGACGTTAATTGTTTAAAACCATTTTCTGGATCCCTTCATCTAGTTATAATGCTTATGCTAGCTTAATACAAGATCATTTGCAAGTCTTCCTCAGCACAGCTTAAATCCAAATGAATTATATTTCTTATTTTTGGTGGGTACTAATGAATTATTATTATTTCACAGCCTTTCTCGATCAGTTTTATTGTTCAATCCACTGCTTTGTGAATGAATACTTCTTTTTGGAGAATTTCTATTGTTCACTGTGAAACCATGTTGGCAAACCTCCATAAATTGGCAGTCATTTCCTTGTGCCAGTGTACTGTACCTTGTACAAACTGATCCATTACTCCCTGTATCGTCATCCATCATGTCACTACTGTAAATCAGAGGCTGTTAAAACTACAGTATTTTCCAATTTTTTTTAAAAAACAGGCCGCTTTATTCTTTAACTCAAATGCTTCCCTATCCATATGCAAGTGTCACTATACCTACACTGATTGTAATTTAATTGTCTCCAAATGGTATGGTTACAAAGTTATTAATTAAATTCAGCTTCAACTGTTGGAAGTGGACTTAGCCTGCTTACAAGCTGGAGCTTCTGAATGTTTGGACCTCTCCAACTGGAGACAGGGGACACCATTTTAACTTGCTTACTCAAGTGGGCCCAAATCTCAGCTTTCCGTTTCTATTATTTTAAAAGCAGTAAAGGAAACCATTGATATGCTAAGCAAGTCTTCTGGTGTAACTTGGGTTCTTAGAGGAAATAGCAGTAGGATAATTACGAATAAAAAAGGCAGCTTCAAGTAGTAAGACTACTACTACATACCTGAGTCCAGTACAGGTGCTGATACTGACAGAGGAATCACTGATGCCTTCAATAACACCATGATAATTACAATGATTCTGCGATAAACCACACAGTTGCAAATTGAAATATTAACAAATTTATAAAATAGTACAATAAATAATGTCAAATGATCAGTGCAATTAAATAGATGGCAGAGAAATACCAGAGATTGCGGTGTGGCTACCACTTCAGTTCCATTTTCCAAGTAATGGGTTTCAGAATAATGTTCAACCAGAAGACCCCTGTTAAAGCACAAAATAAATGAGCTCGAGCTTAAGGAGTTTCAATAAGAGTGAAAGTTGCAGGGGCTCTCTACAATCAAGTGTCCTCACCATTTTGAAAGTAGCCTCATTAGATTGACTCCTGTTCTAACTCATTCTGTGAAATTCCTACTTCCTTCCTGCTTAGCTTTGCCTAATCATCAGCTCTTCATCCATTCCTTCTACTCCCACAATAGCTTCACACTTAGAAGTATCCTGTAATACAGATGCTGGGCCTTCATTTAGTTATATTAAAATGAAGAAAGCCAAGTGCAACCAAAATCGGTTTAACAGACAAGTAGAGAATGCCAAAGACACGAAAGATCTTTGATTAAAGTTTTAAAGGTTTCATTCATTGTTCTTCAGAATTTGAATAGAAATGTGCTTAGGACTGCCATCTGAGTATAGATGCTACTGGCCATCTGATCTGGTTAAAAAAAACTGTAATGAATTGTAATTCAGCACAAACAGTTTAGCAGGAGTAACGTTTACTAAATCATTAAGAGGACCATAGAAATTGCAGTGTAGTCTTCAGCAAATCACTGACATGGACAATGGTCCACAGAACAGATCTTATTTACACTTTCTAGGATACTACTTTAAGAATGTTTATTGCATTTCGCCACTCTTCAACTTTACACATTTATTGCCAATTAGTTTTGTATTTCCTTTACTACAACAACTTGGATTTTTTTGGTGCCTTTAAAGTAAGAAAAAAAAATGACCCAAGGGCTTGATAGGGACAAAAATGAACTGAGCTAGAAAAGGTGTGGCCAAAAGGTCGGGCGAAGACGTGGGTTTTAAATAGTGTCTTAAAAAGGAGCAAAGAGAAGTGGAGAGTGTGGGGAATTCCAGAATGTGGAGTCTGAGCAACCTTAGGCACTGAAATGTGGGAGTGAGAGATTTGAGATTCAAAGGAATGGGATGTTCAGAGGGGGACACTGGAGGTGGTTAGGGTCAGAGAATAATGGTGCCATTGAATGAATTTAAATTTGGAAGTTAGAGGATCAGAGGTCAATACCATTCAGCACGAACTGGGGCAACAATTGGGGTGGTTTGAGATGAATAGTTCACTGAGCGCTGAGGATTAGGAGCTGCTCTGGATGGTTGTGAAATTGAAGAATTTCTGCTGATGGATTAATGGGAAGGATAGAGGTGAGAAATCTGACCAAGGTGGAATTAGGTGGCCTTAGTGGAGAGCTACAGGTCAGGAACCTCACCCGAGAATCAAATAAGAAACTGAGGTTATGAAAACAGTCTGGTTGAATTAGGAGATCATAAAGGATGATGGAGTCTGCAGCAATGGCATGGAAATTCCGTACTGTTTCTGGTAGCCAAAGGTTTGATGTTCCAAATGTTTAGAAGAAAATTCCCGCCCTCCAAGACCGAGTGTCAGACAAATAGTCTCATAATAAAAAGTGTGTAGAGCAGCAGGGAGAACTGGCAGTCATCTTTTCTTCCCATGCTCCCAATAAGCATCCATATCCACCATGCTTAATGGCCCATTCAATCACTCCGCTCTCTGTTTGTCTACCTCCATTAGGTCTCTTTACACTTCAGTCTCAGTATTATTTTCTCAAACTTTTACTGTCACGGTTCTGCATGGTTTTTCTACGAGATATAACCAGTTAACATAGTTATCTTAAGTTCCTCTGTCTGCATTAAGAAGAAATGTTTGGAGTAGCTATATTAATGCTTCAGTACACTAGCCTCAGGACTCTATTTCATTCTGTCATCCAGATTAAGTTTGCGACCACATTTCCTGCTTTATTTTAAACTGCCTTCCTTTTCAATACTGTTATCTCTGAAAAACAATGCAGACAATCAAAGTGTTGGCTAACATGTTGCACCCTTCCCTCATTTATAAAGTATGTATTTTTTGACAGACTTCAAGAAATAGTCACACGGAGTAGGTCAGAAAATTACTAACCTGGCACATAAGTTAGAACAATCAGCTTTCCTTTTGCACCCTTCTTTCTCCTCAAGGTGCATTGATAAGCTTGTTCTAAAGAAAGCTGTTCACCTCTGATGCTATCCATGCTTTAGAATGCACTTTATTTTAAACTACATAACCCAGATAAAATGTATTTCATTCATGCAACATATCCTTGAATTAGAACAGTGGTTTACACTGACAAATATCTGTTTCCAATAACAGAGCTTACTTCGAGTTATTAGGATGAGAATGGGACTAGTTTATTTTAAAATTGATTTTCATTCCAAACTTGTTCTGAGCCGCGTCATTTTTGTGACTAAATAGCAGCACAATTCATTCATGCTGGTTCTCAGGAGTGAACAGAAAATACAAGTGAAAAATTGATGAAAAGCTCTGAAGAAGAATCATCTGGTCTCAAAACATTAGCTTGCTCTATGTCCATGAATGCTGCCTGACCCGCTGTGATTTCCAGTATTTTTTGTTTTCAGTGAAAAATTAATGTCAACTATTTGTATTGCAGGACTCAAAAACATGATGGAGAACTGGGTGGGGGAGCTGGTGATTAGTTTGCTCATAATAAAGCAGTAGAGTCACGACCAGCGCATGGATGAACACCACTGCGCACTCATCTCAATTTTGCTTAAAAAGTTGCAATGATGAATTAACCATGCATCAGCCCCACCCCTCGATACAAACAATTATCTATGGCTTACAAAGCAATGGCACTGACTTTTAAACAGCAAGCAAGCAAAGTATCTTTACATTAAAATAATCCTACTCTGAAAATGGCTTAAAAGAAAGCAGCACATGCTGCGATGTTGTCAAACAGAGAAGTCAATCTTACCCATTCTTTTCAAGATGAACATAGACTTCTTTTCCTTCCAGATTTATAGAATAGGTCACTTTTTCAGGATGGACAATCTGAATAAATGGAGGAAGAAATGAAACAACATCATTCTGAAAATCAGGATCATTTCTTGCTGTGCAATGTTACACAATTGAGTAACAATCAACCTTTGGAGCAGCAACTTCAGGATATACCTCTTCTGTTCAACTCATTGAAATTTTAACACTGAGTCAAGGACTATATCCAGCAACTATAGACACATATCCCAAATGCTTATCAGAGTTTTATAACATGTGTTGTACTGTTCTATGTTCTGTAAATAATTATAGTTATTTCTAAATAATCTGGACCACTTTGTTACTGCCAGGTGTCTCTCTTTCAAAAGAAAAAATGGTTAAAGAACAAACTACTGATAACTTGGTGAAATTTTATGTATGTATTCATCTGGACTATCTTGCAACTATCATCAGGCGTGAATAAACTCCACGGACCTTATCCAAAGAGCCCAGGAATACAGCAATATATATTCATAACAGTTTGCAACATTCAAAGCTTTGGCTTGGCTTGGCAGTAGCATTCTTATCTTGGAAGGAGAAAAGGTTGAGGCCCCTGTTAGAGATTCACAGAAATGGTGACACTTGAGAGTAGTGCTGAAGAAATGCTACATTTTCAAATATATTAGAGAACGGATTTGTAGTGGATATCAGTTTACAACTGAAATGTCGTGATTTTTTGCATGGGATTATCTGTTCTGGATGAATTGCACTATTTAGTAGAATTTTGCCCCTAGTGTGTGGAACATGCCTACGTGGTGGTTTGTCATATGATATCAATGTAGCAATCTCATATTGATCCTGATGCTGCTCCAAATTGAGTCTCATTGGAATCAATTGTGCATTGAACATTTTTAAAACCCCACCTCGGCTTTCAAAAATCACAAACTGCGAGGCTTGTATTAAATCTACAGTAACTTTGGGATAGAATGGGGCAATGAAAGTGATTAGATTGCACCAGGGAGACTTAGCGTGGATTCAATGGACTGAGTTGCCTCCTTCGGCACAAAAACATTGAATAAAAACAAGTGTGCCATCTTTCAGATGGCAAACTGCTCAGTCCTAATTATTCATTCTCAGGATCTGGGCACTACTGTCAAGCCTGGTATTTATTACCCAACCCTAGCTACTTGCAGTAGCTTGACATAATCAAGCAGTTTGCTCGGCCTTTTCACATATCAGTTAAAGGTCAGCCACGTGGAGATACGTAGGCCACTTGAGTATAAAGCTGGTAGGCCTCCTTTCCCAAGGGACAAGTGTGAGCCAGTTGGGCTTTTTATCCAAACAATCTAAAAGCTTCATAGTTACTTTTACAGATGAGTGGGGTTTTTGTTGAAACTGAATTCGGTTCTTAAACTTAAAGTTCTGCATCTCCAGTCCAGGATATCTGATCATCTGTTCAGCCAAAAGGTACTGCCTGCTCTCTCAAGTGACGGTAAAGACCCTACAGCCTTATTTTGAAGTAGGAGAGTTTTCCCACTGTACTGTACTGTACTGTCCAATATTTCTGCCTTACCTCAAGTGGAGGCGATGGCCTAGTGGTACTGACACTAGATTATTAATCCAGAGACCCAGGTAATGTTCTGGGGTCGAGTGTTCAAATCCTGCCACAGCAGATGAAACTTTAGCCCAATAAAAGTCTGGAAGTAAGAATCTAATGATGACCATGAAACTGATGCTGCTTTTCAGAAGGAAAAAAACATCTGATTCAGTAATGTCCTTTAGGGATGAAAGCTGCTGTCTTTATCTGGTCCGACTCTTAACTGCCTCAGGTCAGTTAGGAATGGCCAACAATGCTAACCTAGCCAATCATGCCCACATCCGTAAAAGAAAAACAAAATCTAACACGACAAATTACCCCACAACAGAAACAGAAATTGCTGGAAACGGTCAGGTCTGGCAGCATCTGTGGAGAGAAAGCCGAGTTGAACTATTCTTCAGAACAGTTCTGAAGCAGGGTCAATAAAAACCAAAACATCTGCGGATATTGTAAATCAGGAACTGAAACAGAAGTCGCTGGAAAAGCTCAGCAGGTCTGGCAGCATCTGTTCATCAGGACAGTTCTGAGGAAAGGTCATTGGACCCGAAACGTTAGCTCTGATTTTTCTGAGGTAGGGTCACTGGACTCGAAATATTAACACTATTTGTTTCTGATTTCCAACATCCAGTTTTTTTTTGCTTCTTTTGTTTAGTATACTACAAATTACCTGGTCATTTATCAAATTTTACTCTATGTAGATTGGCTGCCATGTTTCATAAGACCATAACAAATAGGAGGAATGGCCATTCAACCCCTTGAGCCCTGCTCCATCATTCAATAAGATCATGGCTGATCAGATTGTGCCTTTACCTCTACTTTCCTGTCTGCCTCTCCCTAATCCCCGATACTCTTAGATCAAAAAACCTCTGTAACTCAGCCTTGAATACGTACAATTATATGCCCATAATGCAAGTGTTAACACTTCGACAGAACTTAATTAGCTGTACAGCATGTTTGAATGCCTTTAGATGATGAAAGGTGCTATACAATATGCAAGTAATTCTTTGCTTTCTGTGGATTGCTAGCCCACATCTCTGAATTACTTCAGAAGCTGCTGAAGCTGCTGTGTATTTTCATCACTAGTTGTTTCTATTTCAGATTTCTCCCAGTGTCTTGACCAGAACAGATGACTGAATCATTCAGCTCATTGATGCCTATGGGATCTTGCTGTGTACAAATGGTCTTGCAGTTGCTACAAAAGGCAGGTAATCACCCAAGGTGTGAAGAGGAAAATCCACGCCATGCCCTTTACTGACCAACTTGCCAATCTTGCAAAACAAGCGATTCCTGGTTACTTCTTCAAAGCTTTTCATAAAGCTCTTCCTAACCTTCATTGTTCCAACAAAAAGAATCTCAGTTTCTCCAAATACAAAGAACCTGAAGCTGAACTGACCATTCATGTTGGTTTCTGCTTTACTGCTTCCTGTCCTAAATTTCTATCAACAAAAAATATCAACAACTGAACTGTCTTCCGGCATTTAAAAATGTGTGTATCTGGCCCCTAAACCTCCCTACCACTCAGAGTTTTAGAAATTTTAATATATGTGTTACATATTTCTACTTTTTAAATCAAGAAAACACACATGGTTTGCTTCTTGAGAAGGTGAAGGAAGTTTGGAACTCCAGCTTGAGTGCTGTGGAGAGCCCGGTGTTGCTTCTCTCTGGGTAGGCCTGCTTTTCCTCCTCACGTAACACCAAGGCATTCGACAGGACAGCAGTGGGATCGTCCCCTGGTGTCAGGGGCCCCGAGGGGAGACTGGCAGCATCAACGGGAGGAACTGGCTAGTAACAGACTGAGCCATTCTTAGGATTATAGCTGGATCCAAGGCCACGGGTGAGTGATGAATGACAGAAAGATTTACTCTCAGTGGGAGACCCTCCGCTCACATACCTTTCTAACACTGCATCAAGTGCTTTTGGATAAGGGACATTTACCCAGCCCTATCCCAAATGTTCCTGAAGCCTACATGCCCCACCACCACGCCCCCATGGGTTGAATTTTCATGCTCCCTACATGACCAGGCTCCCATGTGCTGATGGGTTTATACCTGCAGTGGTGGAATTAGACCCTTCAGTGGGCTTTCCACAGTCTTTACCATAATGGGCTTAATTGTAGTGGAGATGGCGGGAGAGGGGGAGTGGCACAGTCCTCAAAGGTCACCATCCCAGCACCCCCAATCTATTATCAAACACACCAGGGGCGGGAGGTCATGAGATTCCATTCCATTTTTCTCTGATTTAGATTTGATCTCATAGTTATTGGTTAAATGAATCTGTCTGCATTCTCTCAAGGATACACAGTCTCCTTTACAGGAAATGCACTCTCCTGGTTTTAGCACCATTTGCAACTTCTGATTTTGTATTCTTGATACCCAACTCCAGATAAATTTTATATATCGATATAGAAGGTACCAGTATTCACCTATGTAAGACACCACTGTTTACAGCCATTCAGACAAAGTACATTCATTAATCACTATTCTCTGTTTTGTTCCCTTTAGCAGCATTCAATTTATTTCTAAAAGTCAGTCAATCACAGGTTGTGGGGATTGCTGGGAAAGTCCAAATTTTATTACCCATTCCTGATTGCTCATGAGAAAAAGTCATGAGCAGTCCCTGCGATGAAGGTACTTCTGCAGTGACATTCTTGTTGTGGTTTAATATGACGAAATGGCTTTTGAGGTGTTTGCAGAGGATGGTAAAGAATTCAACCACTGTGCTAAGGGTCTGGAATCACATAGAACAGACTGGATAAAGATTTGAGATCTCCTTCACTACTAGTAAATCTGAGACATTTTATACAGTCACCATGACTTTCTATTCCAGATTTAACAAAAACTAAATTAACTGAATGTAATTCCCCAGTTGCCACGGTGAGATTCGAACACAAGTCTCCAGATCATTAATTCAGGTATCTCAATTATTAATACATTAACAAATGCTCCGATGTGCTTTTAAATAACCTGCTTTTGTTTATGAGCAAGCCTCAAACAGTACTGTATTACATTACTTTTATATAAAATGTCAGTTTTTATTTTATATTTGTTTATGGCATGTAGGTGTCACTAACCAGGCCACTATTTATTGCTCATTTCCAATTGCCCAGGGGGCAGTTAAGGGTCAAACACATTGCTGTGGGTCTGGAGTCACACGTGGGCCAGACCAAGTAAGGATGGTAGATTTCATCCCTAAAGGGACATCAGTGAACCAGATTTTTGTTTGATATAACAATCAACAACTTTTTGTTGAATTAAAATCTCACTCTTGCTCATGATGGGAAGAATCAAACCCAAATTCCCAAAACATTAGCCCGAGGTGCTGGATTACCAGTCCAGTGACATTATCACTACACCACCCTTATCGTTTATAAATCTGTGTTGGCTATCCTAAGTTAATTAGTTTTTCCAGGTGGTTATACATTTGGCCCCGTAACATGGCTTCCAGAAGCTGATCCACTGTAGATGTTGTCTGACACGTCGGCAGTTACACGTTGAACCCCCTTGTTAATGGGGCCATGTTACAGACCACTTTCCAAGCATCTGTCAAAACTTTAACATCCAAAACTATTGGAAAGATTGCCACCCAAGCCTCTACATTCGAATTTCCTTCCCTTTATCCTTCATCGGAGTAGCAGTGGTGCATTCAGGTTCCTGGTCCAGTGCTTGCCCGCTTCCCTCTGATTTCCTTGTTTCTTTTTCTTTACTTTTACTCATTTTCTTCTTCCCACACCCACCCCACTCCCCTTTAAAAGCCCTTTTCAGCATCTTCGACAAGGCAAGAGCTGACCTCCCGAACACGTGCGGCACCGGCGACAACAGAGTCGGCTCCTCCCGACGATCAGCGGTGGCAAAGGCAATATGATCAGTTGGAGGCTGACCGAAACTCCAGGCGAGGGCTAGACCCAGCGAGATCACACTTTAAAATCTGGCTTTCAGATCTGAACGTTTTTTCTTTTCCTTTTGGCTTTTTTTCTTTTATTTCCACCCTTGATTTTTTTTTTAAATTCTGGTTTTGTATTTTAAAATGGCACCGTAGAATGGCGACGTTGTACACTTTTCACTGTACTCCTGTATTCATGTATTTGAGTACATGTGACAACAAAAAAATTCTCATTCTACCACCAGGAATCAAAGGCCAGCTGCTTTCCACTTGGAATTCTTTGTTGAGTTCCATGTACGAAATATTCATGTTCAAACACACTAATGGTTTTTGTGTGGCCATCAGAATTCAACAACACTCAGCTGAGTAACCCAGAAAGTGATAATGTCTAAGTGATCGGGCGTACTCTGATCAACTTTATCTGCTCTGTTCTAAGCTCAGGACTCTTGGGGCCACATACATTGAGATAAGCTAACATCACAAATCAAAGTTGAGGCCTTCCTGGCCAGA